CACACCTATCAAGGAGTAATGAGTGGAGGTGACAGTCATGGAAGTAAGGTTGGGCCCAGGTGGGTAACGCATCCATCAGAAGAAATGGGGACATGCTGAGTAGAGCTGCCATCCCCTGAGGTGATCAGAGGCTCTGGAGGCAGCCTTCTTGCCACTCAAGCAGCCCCAAGGAGGGTAGGACCTCTGTTCACCTCAGTAACCCACCCCTAACCTTGTGTCACAGTGTAGCCATCCTGAAAAGGGCTGTCCCATGTAAGTCCAAGTCCATGAAATGGAAAGAACTTGGATGCCGGAGCTGATCCCTAGCAAATTTTCCTGCATCCCTTTAAAGTATAATGAATGGATGGCACGGGACACTCAAAGAATGAATGAGTGAAAACAACCTGAGGGGCAGGATTCCTAGCATGAGCCAGAAACAATGATTTGATATATCTCATGGGGAGTTTGATTTATTCGACACCCTGCACCTATACCTCAAACCATAATGATAATAAGATAATATCCATTACTTAACTCTGCACAGTGATGTCCATGGAAATTAGATAAGGGAAAGTACAGAATGCTCAGAGATGGAAAACATGCTGAAATATCTTTAATTTGACTGGTGCCTTCACAGAACTGACCCCTGATCTTGAGAAGAAAAGTGGACTCCATTGGGAAAAGCCAGGGGCTCGTTTCCCACTACTAATCCACGCAGGTGCTGTTTAGGAGGGTAAACTGGGTATAGAAAGGTATGGTGCTCACGATGAAGGTGCAGCTGACCTGAAGGAAAATAATTAAAGAAGATAAAACTTTAAAATATATATTACATTGGAAGCATTTAGCTAGCAGCATAGAGTAGGGTCTTAAGGTGCATTATTAATGCAAAATGATGGCAATCAAGCATTCTTTCTCCTGGGGCAGGTATTTCTGCATCAGACCACTTGAGCCTGGGGGCTCCAGAAAGGGAGACTGGTTGGGGCATATTCTGCCCCTAACGTATCCCTCTTCCTTCACAGTCCCCTGATGCATAGGCTACAAGAGTCCCACATATGACCCAGTAAGAGAACCTCCAACTGGGCTGCAGCTGCTCCAGCCCATGGCTGCAGGGTGGCAGCGTAAGACCAGCCCAAGGGGGCTATATGCCTTGACTTAGACACAACTTCTGCCTCCAATACCCCCATGTCAGCTACCAGCTCATAGATAGTGATTTCAGACTTCTGACTGGATGGAAACTTTCCTTAAGGCCCAGAACACCACAAAGGGAGGCTCGTGGCCATGAAAACTCAGCAGTTCTCTAATCCCCAAGGGTAAGAGAAAAGCAGAGCAAGGACTACAGGGAGAAGACCCTCTGCCTGCACCACGCGGAACTAAAAGGGAAAAGACGGGGATGTGTGAAGAAGACTGTCTAGAAAGGAAAGCCTTGTACTAATAGGTCTCCTCTGTTTGGCCCTCCTGACTGTGGGCAGAGCATGTGTGGCTGGTCCTGGACGCCAGGCTCTGGCTGCTTAGAAGAACCACGGTGTTCCTCCAATGAGGACACCCGGAGCCCTCCTGGAGCAAGGTCCTTCTGCCACTGGACTATTCCCAGGCGATTTCCCCATGCCTGCTTCTAAAGACCTCTTGAAGTGGTATTTTTTCATTCTCACAAGATACATAGCGTATTTGTGGGTGAATTTTAACTTCAAACCTTTTTCTCTCCTTGACCTTCTTGCAAGGGGCAATTCTCCAGGTCTTCGTCGTGTTTTTTACAAATTGTGCGGCCCATCTCCAAGTCCATTAAGTATAACCAAGTGTGCCTCTGTTGAGAAAAACAAAAATGTAGAAATTGCTGTGAAATAATCACTCCTCAGAAACCAGAACTAGAGAATCAAGTAGAAAAGTAGACAGAAGCTAGAATATAAACATACATATAAATAAATATATACATATTATTTGAAGTGCTTTGAGGAGTATAATCAACAGAAAGGTACGCATAAGTACCTATAAGATGTGCACAGAATTGTTCCAGAAGCACTTTTCCTAAGAGGCACATCTACTGGTGTCAACACCGATAGTACAAAAAGCAAGTAAGATGTGCCACACTCACACAATCAAGTGCAACCCAGCATGAACTGCACAAACTATAGCAAACTTAACAGTAGACTGACTGACTCTCAAACACACTGGGGAGCAGCACTGGCCCGACACTAGAACATGCTAACTGAAGCCATTATATAGAGCAGCAAAGCAGGAAAGGCTAAGACATGGTATTAGAAAACCAAGATCACTCCATCCCTTACAAGGGGCCAGGCCTGAACGGGGACAAAAAGGAGCTCCTGAAGGCTGGGAGTTGGTGGTTGCAATAAAATCTCATCTTGAAAACATCCGTTATGTTGAAGTCTTCAGTCAGATGCAGTCCTGTGTGTGTATTCATATATTGACAAGATTTATGTTCTTATTTTCCATTCCTTAATTATGCTATTCTAAACTGCCATAGGAGTCAGCCTGACCCGTGACCACAGTGGAACTAAGCTTTGTCTAGTCCTACACCATCCACATGATCAGTAACAGATTGAATCTTTGTGATTCATGGAGTTTTCACTGGTTATGTGGGGGGAAGGAGATCACCAGGCATTTCTTCCTAGTCCATTGTCATCGAGTAGCTCCACTGAAACCTGTTCACCCTTAAAGCAACACACACGCCTCCACTGCAGATGTGTGGTAGCTGCACATGAAATGCATTGCCTAAGAATCAAACCTGGGTCTCCAGAAAAGAAGAGGAAATTTCTACCTCTTAACCACCTCCTTAATTATACACGCCTAAAAAGTTGACCCATCACTTGTATGTGAGTTTATTGGACTGTGGTGGCTTATATGCTGCTGTGGTGCTGAGAGGTATGTCTGTGGCATTTAATATACCAGCAGGGTCACCCAAAGTGAACAGGTTTCAACAGTACTTCCAGACTGAGAGCAGGCAAAAAAAGGAATAGGCTGTCCACTTCTGAGGAATTACCCACTGAAAACCCTTTGGGTAGCACTGAAACACTATCAGTTACCGAATACCTAATGAACAGAAGCAGAACATTGTCAGAGAGAGTGCCAGACGATGAGTCCCTCGAGTTGGAAAGCACTCAAAATATGGCTGAGGAAAAGCTTCCATCTCAAAGCAGAGTAGACCAGAATGACAGGAATGAAGTAAAGCCTTCTTTTTTACCTTCATTTGCTGATGGGGTCTGACAGACAATGAGAAGAAACAGCTGCAAACATCAGTTAATAATTGGAACTTAGAATATGCAGAGTATGAATCTAGGGAAATTGGAAGTCAAAAATGAAAAGGAATGCATAAAGATCGATATCCTAGGTTTTAATGAGCTGAAATAGATTGGAATTGACCATTTTGAATCAGAAAATCATATGGCTTACTATACTGGGAATGAGACAATCAAGAGATATAGCAGTACATTCATTGTCAAAAAGCACATTTCAAGAGCTACCCTGTTTCCCTGAAAGTAAGACATCCCCCGAAAATACGACCTACTTACAGTTTTGCCTCTCACTGAAATATAAGGCATCCCCTGAAAATAAGGCCCCCCGAAGCTACCGTAACTCTGGACTCTGGACTGTAGCAGCGGGCACCACTGCTCAGCTCACTGTTGGCCACAGTGCTGCCGGAGCAGACAGGAAGTGTGAGATCTCTTTTAATAAAACAATAAACAATAAATGTGTACCATATTCTTCTTCATGGAAAAACAAGACATCCCCTGAAAATAAGACCTAGCACGTCTTTGGGAGCAAAAATTAAGATAAGACACTGACTGTCTTATTTTCGGGGAAACAGGGTATCTTGAAGTACAATACTGTCTGTGATAGAATACTGTCTGTCCACATACAAGAAAATCCAATCAATACAACTATTATTCAAATTCATGTATCAGCCACTAAAGCCAGTGAAGAAATTGAAGGATTTTACTGACTTCACTTGACAATTGATCAAACATGCAACCCAGATGCATTGATAATTACTGACTATTAGAATGCAAAAATTGGAAACAAGAAAACAGTAACGGTACTTGGAATATATGATCTTGTCGATAGAAACAAAAATGGAGACCACATGATAGAATTTTGCAAAACTAATGACTTGTTCATAACAGGTACCTTTTTCAACAACACAAATTCTCCAGATAGAACGCTCACAAATCAAATTGGCCACATCTGTGAGATGAGACCCTGGAGAAGATCATTATTAGCAGCTAAAACCAACTGAGGGGCCAACTGTGAAAGAAATCATCATTGCTCATAGGTAAGTTCAGGTTGAAGTTGAAGAAATTAAAACAAATCTACAAGAGCCAAATTACAACCTTGAGTCTATCCCACTTGAATTTCGAGAACATCTCAAGAATAGATTTGATGCATTCAACACTAATGACAGAAAACCTGATGAGCTGTGGGATGACGTCAAGAACATAATACATGAAGAAAACAAAAGGATATTTTATAAACTGGAAAGAAAAAAAAAAGATAAAAGTGGATGCCAGAAGAGACTCTGAAACTTGCCCTTAATTGTAGAATAGCTCAGGGAAATGGAAGAAATTATTAAGTCAAAGGCCTGGACAGAGAATTTTCAAAGGGCAGCCCAAAAAGATAAAGTCAACTATTATAATGAAATGTGCAAGACCTAGAATTACAAGACCAAAAAGGAAGAATATGCTCAGCAGATCTTAAACGGAACAAATTCAAGGAAAAAATCAAGTCCAAGCTTCCCTGGAAGCATTACAAATTGAAATGTTTCAGCAAGCTGATGAAGCAAATACAAGCACTCATTCTGTGATTCCAGGTAATTTGGAAGAAAACTGCTTGGCCAACTTACTGGAAGGTCCATATTTGTAGCCATTCCAAAGAAAGGTGAAACAACAGAATGTGCAAACTATAGAACAATGTCATTGATATCGTATGCAAGTAATATATTGCTGACGATTATCCAGCAACAGTTGCAGCAGTACATTGACAAGGAGCTGCCAGAGGGTCAGGTAAGATTCAGAAGAGGACGGGGAACAAGGGCTATCATTGCTGATGCCAGATGGATCTTGACTGAAAGCGGAGAATACCTAAACGATATTTACCTGTGTTTCATTTACTCTGCCAAGGAATTTGACTGTGTGGATCATAACAAACTATGGATACCCTTGAGAAAAATGGGAATTCCAGAATACTTCATTGTGTTCATGTGGAACCTGAACCTGGATTAAGAGGAAGTTGTGCTAACAGAATAAATGATGTATGGTTTAAAATCTGCGAAGGATCACATCAAGGTTGTATTCATCTCATCATACTTATAAGATCTGTATGTTGAGTAAATAATTAGAGAAGCTGGATTATATGAAGAAAATTATGGTATCAGGATGAGAGAAAGGTTTCCTAACAATCTGCAGATAACACAACCTTGCTTGCTGAAAGTGAGGAGGACTTGAAGCACTTGCTGATGAAGATCAAGCATTGCACCTTCCAGTATTGATTACAACCCATTGTCAAGAAGACCGAAATCCTCACAACTGGACCAATAGGTCACATCATGATAAATAGAGAAAAGGTTGAATTTGTGAAGGATTTCATCTTGCGTGGATCCACAATCAACACTCATGGAAAGAGCGGTCAAGATATCAAATGATGTGTTACATTAAGTAATTTTGCTGCACAAGACCTCTTTAGAGTACTGAACAGCAAAGATGTTACTTTGAGGACTAAGGTATGCTTGACACAGCCATGATATTTTCAATTGTCTCATAGGCATGTCAAAGTTGCACAGTGAATAAGGAAGACCAAAGAAAAACCAGTGGATTTGAACAATGGTGTTGGTGAAGCCCCGTACTATGGACTGCCAAAAGAACAAGCAATCTGTCTTGGAGGAAGCACAGCTAGAATGCTTCTTCAAGGCAAGGATGGTGAGACTTCATCTCATGTACTTTGTACATGCTACCAGGAGACACCAGTCCCTGGAGAAGGACATCATGCTTGGTAATGAAAAGGTGCAGCAAGAAAAAAAGAAGAAGAGGCAGCCCTTCAATTAGGTGGATTGACACAGTGGCTGCAACAATAGGCTCAAACACACAAACAATTGTGAGGATGACACTGTACCAAGCAGTTCTTTGTCCTGTTGTTCACAGGGACCCAACTTTTGACAGCACCTAACAAAAAGACGAGCAACAAAAATCTGAGGGAAAAATCAGAGAAAAAAACAATTGTAGCCAGAGAGCCACTCAAGCCATTATGCTGACCTGGAGATTGTCTAGAGAGCTGATTCTGTTTGGGGCTTAGGTAGTCAGGCCATTGACAAGTAATATCCACTAGTGCCCCAACATTCACACGCAAGCACATACACACAGATTCCTTCACACATGTTTCTCCCCCTTGAAGTTCCAACGTTGTATATTAGGACTGGTAGAAGAGGCACCAACAATATAGTGATCCATGCCTAAGGATTCCTGTGGTGGAGAATCAACCCAAAGGAGAAGCAGGTGTGGGAGAAAGGTGTGGGAGACACAGGAAAGGTGCTATACTCTGTGCAGGGAGAGAAGATGCACAGATAGTCTTGCAGAAGTTTGTTGCATATGTGGGATCCTCCACGTATTCTTTCATTTGGGCATCACATGGATTCATAACTTAACATCCAGAGGCAGATCTTTTACAATGGACAAAATGTGTGTCTCAGTGGAGAGTACAATCAAAATTCCAATCAAAGGAAGCCAAAAGGAATAAGAAGAAACACCAGTGGGAAATCGCCACAAACACATGCCAATGACCTAAACTTCTACCACATCTATCCCTTCCCTCCTTTCAAACTTTATAATTCACTGCTTGCTTGACCAGTTTGGTGAGACGCATTGGCAGTAAGAAATTCTCAAATTATTTACTTCCCCCTCCTCTGTGCTTCCCCCAGGCCAAATCTCCACTGAGAGAACCACCATTAGCCATAGTTCAGGACAAATATGAGGATATGGGAACACCTGGAATGTTCCTCTTTACTCACACCCATGGCAGCAAGCAATTAGTGATGGTTCTACCTCCAAGTAGACGCAGAAGTCAGCAATCCCCACACTAACCTGCTCCCACCTTTGTCTCACCACCTGTCTCTAAGAACAATTATTGCCCACCAGTGTCATTCTCCCTCAAGCATCAGTGGCTAGTGTACCAGCACGAGAGAGATGCGTGCTAACATGATTCAGACTGTCACTGTCCTGAGTCACCTCCTCCACACTCCCCCATTATATTGAGGATAAAACTCCTTGACAGGAGCTAGAAAACCTCAGGCAGCTACACCCTCCATCCCTGCACACCGGCCTTTCAGAACTTCCTTCTCTGGAACACAAGTTCAGAGACCTCTGTCTGTGCCCTGAGCACACCTGGCTGATCTCAGCCTCATGGGTCTTACAAAGCTGCCTGACTTTAGCTTCCACTAAAGCCCTTCCCACACTGCATCCTTCAGGCTTGCCCCTCCTAGAGAGGCATCCTTGTCCCCCAGCCAAAGAGCCAGCCCTTCCAACACACGCGAACCTGCCCCACTGGCCTGACTGCATCTATCATGCTTGCTATTACTCGATTCACGGTTGTGGGAGCTTGCTCATTCCCCACCTCACAGATTAGGGTGATTGATCATACCCTGTCAATTCTTACTCCTTCCAGCACAGACATAGCACACAATGGGCTTTCTATAAATGTTTGCTGATGTCCCAAAAGGTCTTCTCATCCGTGACATGAATGCCACTCCAGGCTCACCATTGTGTGGCCAGCTCATCAGAGCAGGAGGTTAGCCCCCCTGAGGACATGCCTGCCGCCTGCCAGTCCCCTGAGCCCGTGCTATATCCCTTAGTACCAGCCTTCTTCCTGGATTTTTCATTTCAGCGTCTGACCAATCTCTTCCATTATTTCCACCCTCACATATCTCACTATGGATTTAGTGTTCCTCCTCCTCACGCTGTGTCCCAAGTTTCTGGATGCTTCTCTTTCTCTCCTGCCCTGTTGATCAAAGGCTCTATTTTTAAAGGAAATAAACCATAAGCATGAAGCATCTCTGTTGATACCTTAGGATTTTTAAATATTTACAACATTCAAAAAAATCAATGCCTCTTTTCTGTATACTAAGCCCTCCCCAACCCCAGGCCGAGCCCCAGAGGAGATAGGAGAGCAGAGAGCACAAGCCCTTATTGGCACCTTGTGCTGGCTCCGTCGGATGCGCAGCAACTTGAAGGCGTACTCGTCCTCGATGTCCTCATTGTACTGAAATACAGCAAACTCCACCGACATCATAAATCCATTCAAGTTCTTACTGATGTCCGTAAACCCAGAAGGAATGGCCCAGACTTGTGTCCGCAGCACCAGAAGCCCCAGAAGCAGAGTCACCTTTGAGAACATGGCTCTCGCCACCAGCACGAGGCTCCTGGGAACTCACTGGCAGACAATCACTGGAATGAGCAGGGGAGCTGGGAGCTGCTGCTGCTGCGGGCAGACTCCTTCAGTGCTTAGATCCCATGGGCCTCGCCCAATGGAGACCAGGAACTAGTTACCACCTCCTCCCTCCAATCAGCATCTCCACCCCCTGCGCCTCCACACCACTCCCCCAGCTTTCCCTCCCATTGTCAGCAGATAGCAGTACAGAAGTCCTTGGGCTCACAGACAGGCATTAAACAGCATGCTCTTTTAATGCATGTCCCCAGGGCTGCTCAGCCTGCCCTGTTCAGCCCTGGTCAAGACTTAAGAGTGAGGGTATTTGCCATCCTCACTGCCTTCACAGTAGAGCAGCTAAGCATTGATAGAATCTCAAGAACTCATGTTGGGCCTGGATTTCAAAGGAGTCAGTCTGCCTTGTGATCTTACACCCCAAAGCATCCTCATATTGGAAGGTTACAAGGTGGGGGCCAGAATTTGGTTGTCCATGTGTGATAGACACCATCTTCTCAACCTGTTGTGCCCCGTCCGTCCGTCTGCTGTCTTGCCCTCCTGACCCAAAACTTGACTGTGCTTGACAATTAGGGACAGAGAAGTCCAATGTCCTCAGGTGGCTGGTGAGAATACCCAAGACAAGGGATAGAAGGTCACGGAGCTGGGGGAGGGGACTAGCCCTGCCTCACCCCAGAAGATGGGCTTTCTCACCCAGCTCTGGGTCTTGACCACATTCCCTCATCCATATACTTCACAAGGGACCTGTGGGGCTGTCTCGAGCACCCAAAAAGGACTAAGTCCAGACACATTTTATGATGCTGAATTCACACATTTATTCATCAAAGAGGTAAGAAATCTTGTAACTAATATACTCTAGCTTAATTCAAAGTATACATAGTCACACATCACACAATACATCACAGTTGGCTTACCTTACGGGGAGAGCTCAGAGTGACGTGGTGTCTGGTCTACGTTGAAGGAGATCTGGAGCTGTCTGCCATTGGTAGGGTTTTACACATTAAGGGAAACAATGTTGCTTACGTAGGCAGCCTCTTCTGGTAGTTTTAATAAGTTGTCCCAGTGGGCATCTGGAGCTTGTTTACTTGCACAAACAAGACTAAGCATCTATCTTTGGTTACTTTCAATATGAAGTTTCTTTGCTCGTGTCAGGGGCCAACACCTGCTCGCCTGTGTTGTTTCCTTCCCAGGGAAACTGTTAGAAGAGGAAGGAGACGATGGGCATGAGCTTGTCAGGGAGTGTGAGAGCCACGCAGGTGTGTAAAAATGGCTCTGGGCATTGGATACCAGGACATGCCTGATCTCAGAAAGGGTGTGGGCCTGGGGAGAGGAAGTGAAAAGACATGTTTAGAATGGTCGACACCTTGCCTTGTCAGGCATCAATTGATGGCTGACTACATCAGCGGTCTATGGAACAGTGGGCCACCCACCTCATTGTTTTTTCCACCCTAGAATCAGCAAACACCAATCCTTGCCTATCTCCGTCATTCCTGACCTCGGTTAATTATGTGTCATGGCTCCTAAGATGTCTGCAGAATTGGTATTGAGGTCTACTCTTCCGTATTGATATAGCTTACACCTGCTTACTTCATTTGTATAGTCCCTTGTCAATAGTTAGACTTTTCCGGAAACCAATTTTTGGCATTCTTGATACTTTCTATTGTGTCTTCATTTTCTATTTTACTCATTTCTGCAATTTTAAAAAAGAATGTCCTTATTTTTCTTAACTCTGAGTTCATTTTGCCATTCTTTGTTTGGGGTCATACTCTGGAGGCTGAGGCCGCTGATGGCTCTCTTGCCTCCTGCATGCCCCTCTCATGGCTCTAATCACTTATATAAAAATATTCTAAATAGATGTGTCTGTGTGCGCAACTTAATAACCATTCAGATTAGTTAGCACCATCCATGTGTTCGTTAGAGATGTGTTTCTGAATTTCCAAACATCTGTGGGATTTTTTGGTTAACTTTTCCTTCTTAATTTCTACTTAATTTCTTAATTTTACTCTGGCCTGAGAACATGTTGTGTGACATCAATTATTCAGTATTTGTTAAGATTTGCTTTATAAATCAGCATATGGCCAATTGTCATTCACAGCCACCCCTCTCACAAACACATGCCCTTCATTTGAGGGTGAAGGTTCTGCGTAAATCAAAGAACTAATTTGTAATATGATTCTTAAAGTTTTATATATATATATATATACTGATTTTCGCTTTGCAGAATCATCTATCAGAAACCAAGAGTGATGCTGTAATCTCCTACCACTATTGTGGATTGAGATTCTGTGTCCAGTGCATTTTGACATGAATTGTCTGATGTTGAGGGAATCATACATCAATTGTATGATGTTGAGGTAGGGAGAAGGCGATTTTAATTAATTTCTCCAATACATTTGACCATCAATCTATCTTATCAACAATGCCAGCTTTATATTATGTTACACTATGGTAGATGTAGCCTGAAAATTAAGAGCCAAAAGATGTCAGAAGAGTCCCAATCACTCATTGACTGTTAATCCAGCCCATCATATGACTAAATGTCTCCCAGGCCACTCAAGTTTGCAGACTCCTATTCCATCTTATCGTCTGGTACAAGTGAGCTAAGAGACAATATCATATCTTACTCTGAGCCTCTCTTTAAGCATTATTGTAACACATTTTTGCCCAAATATCTCACATATTTTATGTGTGTGTGTGCATGTCATATGGCTTTAATCACTTACTATTATGTGAGTAGTAGTGTGATTTGAAAAATATATATCATATATATAAGTAATTTATATATATACCCTTGGACAAATGGGGTTATCGTGTTCTAGAACTTCCATGGGAAATGAGGATGTGTGCTGGCATGTGCAGGTAAGCCAGGACAGAAAATTCTCAGCTGAGCAGGTTCAATATCAACTAGCCTCCAAATACATGATTTAACCTATTACAGAAGACTGATCAAGAAAAGCCAGAACATGAAGTCATATAGCTCTTCCGGGTGAGTGAGACACAGCGTATAGTTCTTCTGGGTGAGTGAGGCACAGTGGCTTGCCCTTTTTGAGATATGAAAGCTCTGCATTGAGAATATTTCCATACCTCACCCATACATCTCTTCCTGATTATGCTGATTATGGCACTGGAAACATCTCAGCGCTGGCAGGGGACTCTGCATCAGGGTGGGTCCATGTGTCTTGTCAGCTGCTAGGTCTCCCAGGGCGTGAGCAGATACTCTCCCATATCCAAGGAGGAAAATACTGGACTGCCCAGAATTCTCAGGAGAAGGCCATGCTCACACAGAGGCCTCATTGGCTATGATCTGATTGACAGGCCAGACTCCACCCCTACACTCTTAATCTTGTTTCCCAATTCATCAGCCCTGGCAGATACATGAGTCAAGAAAAGCTTCTATCTTCATATCTGACCCATGGGCTTGAACTGGACTGTACTTGCTTCTATAATTGTGTGAGGCACTTTCTTGATATAACTGTCTTTCTTCTATATGCATAAAAGTGTCACTGATTTTGCTTCTCTAGAGAATCCAGCCTAACACACCCAATAATCATAAGTATTGTCTAGAAGGGCTATCTGGTCATTTGCAATTAATTTTGAAGTCAGCAGAAAAGCAGGGAGTGCCTTGGCAGCACAATGGTTGGTGCCACAATTGGTGAAGAAGGTTGGCAGGTAGATGCATATTTGACTCATAGGAAATGAGTCTTGGGCTGATACTGAGTTTCTACTCCTCCGGTGTGAAGTTAGTGAAGGTCACATGCTGTCCCTAAACCATTTTTGCAAGTGGAAATTCTTGTTAACTTCAATCATCTCTCCTTTTATCATGATGTTACTTATTGGTCTAGTTGTGAGGATTTTGGTTTTATTTACATTGCGTTGTAATTTATATTGAAGGTTGAATTCCTTAATCATCAATGAGTGCTTCAAGTCCTCACTTCAACAAGCAAGGTTGTATCATTTGCTTATCGAAGATTATTAATAAGCCTTTCTGCCATCCTGATGCCACCATCTTCCTCATACAGACAAGCTTCTTGGATTATTCTTGCTCAGCATTCAGATTAAATGAGTAAGGTAAGAGGGTAGAACCCTGATGCACACCTTTCATGGTTTTAAACCATGAAGCCCTGTTCCAATGACTGCTTCACAGTGTATGTACAGCTTCTTCATGAACATTCTTGCAAGTTGGAAAGCAAGGATATGTTCTGCAATTCCCATGCTTCTCAATGCTAGCCATAGTTTCCTATGATCCACACAATCAAATACCTTTACATAGTCAAAGCAAACACACAAAAAAAGCATTTTTCTTTTATTCTCTGCTTTCAACCAAATCTATCTGACATCAGCAACAATATCTCTTATTCCACATCCTCTTCTGAATCTAGCATGAATTTCTGGCAGCTCCCTATCAATACACTGCTGCAATCAGTTTATAATCATCTCCAGCAATTTTTTTGCAGAAAATATTAGAATTGCTTGATAATTCCCACATTCTGTTGGGTCACCTTTCTTTGGAATGCATACAAATATGGAGGTCTTTAGTAGGTAAGCCAGGTAGCTGTCTTCCAATTTTCTTGAGAAAATTTCTTCATCGGCATGTTGAAACATTTCTATTGGTATTCCATTATTTCTGGAGCCTTGTTTTTCTTCTTCTTTTTTTAAAATCAGTTTATTGGGGGAGTTTATACAACTCTTATCACAATCCATATATCCATCCATTGTGTCAAGCACATTTGTACATTTGTTGCCATCATCATTTTCAAAACATTTTCTTTCTACTTGAGCCCTTGTTGTCAGCTCCTCACTTCCCACCCCCCCCACTTCCCTCATGAACCCTTGATAATTTATCATTTTTTTTCATGTCTTACACTGATGGATGTCTCCCTTCACCCACTTTTCTGTTGTCTGTACCCCTGGGTGGGGATTATATGTAGATCATTGTAATCGGTTCCCCCTTTCTCCTGCCACCTTCCCCTTACCCTCCTGGTATCACTACTCTCAATATTGGTCCTGAGGGCTTATCTGTCCTGAATTCCCTGTTTCCAGCTTGGACCCTTGT